TACTTTAAAGATTGTTTGATTTACCTACGTGAAGGAGCATCGTTAATGAGCGCAATACCGCAAACAATATACCAGCGCAATAACGTTTTTTTTTATCGCGGAACATAATATTGAGAATACATATTACATCCGGTTTTTTTATATTTAAGAATAAATAAAAATTAATGAAGCATAAACTTAAATTATGGATGTTAATATATAATTTATTTTGTCTACACAAGCTAATCTTTCCTAGTTTTGAAAGGCAGAAAATCTCTATAAATGAAACGAATTTGAAGTATGCGTGTGCTACAAATTGTAATGAAAACTATTCGTAACATTAGTGAAACCTCACAAATCTTAGCATATGACGACTCGATGAAGATTTTCTTTGTTTATTCATGTCTATTACATTGAATTGTGTAGTGTGTCCCGGTGACCGGTGACCGGGTGACAGGCATTGATTAAACAGTGAATCACGTCGAGTCACGGCTCCCAGGCGGTGCGTTCGGAGCCTGGCGCTACTACGGTACGGTGCGGGCACGTTGATAGCGGCGCACTTCCGCCTCTGATAACGTAACTCTTAACAACAGACGACCAGGTCAATGTACTCGTCGACTGAAAGTATGTAAAAATCGGATTTCCATAAGTGAAAATTTAAGAATAATTCTATAATTACTACATTAACTTCCTTAAGAAGTGATGAACATTATTATTTATGATTGTAACCGACTCCAGCGTATATAGTCAATCAAGTTTTATGTAATTTGAAAAGGATTACAGAACACAAGGACTTTAAGTCTAGTGCGATGAAACAAAAGACGTGCAGCAACAGGTAAAAAGACGTTAAGACAAGTATATAATGTTTCACATTGTTCTAAGATTGTATTGTGTGTGTATGGTAAGAGACATCGATAACAAAACAGCCGCGGTAATAAAGTAGTCAGTCATAAATATAACAATTCCGTTCATTACTATAAAACTAAACAGAACATAAACTTTCGCTTGCGTAAAGCTGAAATTCTAACAAGTAATTAATGGCCGATTATGTAATTGATCAAGATAGGTAGGCACGTCCGCGGCCGGTGATTGTTTACGTCGGGCGCGGGCGCACGCGCAGCGCAGGGCGGACGGCCCGATAGCATCGCCCGCAAAAAATGCCCCCGATGCTCAACGCTCAGAACAATGCCAATAATTCGCTCGTGTCACTGTTGCTTACATGTTCTCGTATAATTTACTGACCATAGATTTCTAATATACGATTGAAGTAAAAGACATTCGGTAATTAAGATAATTAACTAAATTTTAAGCAAACGGCGCGTGTTTGAGAAAAGATCCTGCATATTTTAAGCATTAGAGAATGAGAAGAACATTCACGCAATATTTTGTTAACAGGCGCGGCAACAAAATATAACAAACAAGCTGTAGAAGGGTGAAAATTTAGGATTGTGTGTTTTTTAATGCAGAATGATAAAAAAAATATAAATTTTATCAAAAAGATTTGAAATTTTGTTATGGACCACCTTCAACACTTCGGAGTATAAAAAATGTTTACGTCCTATTCTCAGACCTACTGAACATAAACACAAAATTATACAAGAATCTGTCAAATCGTTTCGGAAGAGTTTTGTTACAAATACTGTGACACGAGAATTTTATAAAATAGATCTACTATCTACCTAGCAGTAAAATTGCAACTGCAAAAATTTTGCATGCATTGTAATATTTTCCTTAGAAAATATACTGGTTTAACAACTGTTTAAGTATCTAAATAAAACAAATAATTTTTCGTTGCAAGTCATTAACAAATAGGTAATATTTTCAACCTAGAATAGCACGTGCACGTGCGTACTGGGAGGCGCGTGCGCAAGGTGCGCGTGCTATCATAAAACATTGCAGCCACAAGTCGTAAACGCGTGTGCAGTGAAACGGGGGCAGCCCTAACAGCGCGCTGGAAACCACGGAGCCTTCACGGTAGAGCGCCCTTCCTCGTAGCCGCGCGTTTTTGTCGACCGCGCGCGCTGAAAAACCGCGCCACAACCGCACCGCACCCGCGGAATGTTGCCCCGGAGCCCGGACGAACGCTGACATTGAAGGTACCTAGCCGATGAAATACACTTTCGCGTCTGATTCACTTGTACCGACAGCAAATTGTTTTACTTTTTCGGCCTCCATTTGATTACTTTTTGTCGCATGTTTGGAATGGTAATCTGTTTTTGGATAACACACAAAAAGTATTACTGCGCGGTAGAATAAGTAGGTTTTATTAAAACACCAATAATAGCGCGAGGTTTTTTTTATTCATCAAAATACTGCCACAAACGTTACTCAAGCAGGTGGGTAAGATACATTCGTCGAAAGCAATAGAAACGCAACATTTTTACATACGCGCTGAAAAAGTTTCCTTTGAAAAGTTATAAGTAAATGAAAAATCAATCATAGGTAAGCTTTGATTCGGAAGAAAATTATATTAATGAGTATCGATCACTGGGAAATCGCAGTGTTGTCAAGCAACCATTTGTTATGGCGTGTGCTTGACGTCACTGTTTCAGCAAGTAATTTGCGTAAATATTTACTTATATTCTGCTATTGCATGGATGTTTGTGTAATATCACAGCACAAGCCTTACCTAATATTATTAATTAAAGTACCTACATTTCCCCTAAAAAATCCGATTCTAAAGTAGAGTAAAAACAAATATTTAAAAATATAGAGACACCTTGAGTGAAGTATGAAGTAATAATAAGTTAAGTATGCAGTAAGTCACGATGAGCAAATGTTTACCATCACCGTCGCATGTTGTTGCACAATAGATGGTTTTCATGCTGGATCTCGAAGAGCCCGATGGCGGTGCAGTGGTTAGAGCATTCGGTATGCGTTCATGGAAATTCAGTTACTTTCACTATGTCCCAGCAGTGGGGAAATTAATAGGTCGATAATGATTCATTGTACTCAAATTCACAGTCAAAAGCAAATGATACGATCATTTTGTTGTGGCGTTGATCTTTCAGGTCAGGTTGTTATATCACAAACACGTATTTACTCCTTGAACAACAACAATAGAATTTAATCAATTATTATTACGCCGTAAGACAACAGCTCTATTGTATATTTTCCACAATCGATATCTTATCGGTCACCATTTTTTACCAGTTTCATGAAATAATATGAATCAAAGAATAACGACGTAACTCTGTCATATCAACAATACAAAAAAAAGATGCATTCAGCAGGAAAATCAAATCGATGTTAAGGATTTTACCTTTCCCAGACTGCTTCACTTTCAAAACATTCGTCGAAATAACAATCCATTTTTGAACACTAATGATTCAAGGATATATTCACAAGATTTATCACTACACACTATATGAGTTGTCTACAGTTCCCGTAGAGGCGCCACACAATGCGACGTCCCGAAAGGCGCGAGCGCCGCCCACACCCCGTCTCATGATGACCCACTCAATTTGTGGCGACTGAGGTGACGCCTCTCCAGCGCCAAATCAGTATTAACAGAATCAAGGTTTTCGACACTCATACGCCTGCCTGACATCACCCTTATTTTAGTAGTATACCCGCTGATCTTCATCACAATGCATACAGTCGTGTATAGTTTTCAAAACCAGTCTTGATACAAAAGGATATAAGGAGTCTACTTTCAACAAGTATGCAAGGATCCGAATAAACACAATTATATAATGCTATTTCATTTATCACGTTGTATCGATAAAAATGAGACATCTTTATTTACACTAGTAGTCGCCTATTGGCCGAAATTCTGTTTTTATATTGTTATTATCAAAATGTGGGTCCGTTTGCTGTCTCGAACGAATTAGGATCAATCGTTATTTATTTCAGCAAAGGTAAATAAATTTAGGTCGGCATAAGTGTGAAACTACAGCGAACGAACGTCAGAGGTCGTTCACGCGATCGTGAGTAATTGCTAATTCGTACCCCGACGAGCTAATTCGCCAATTAGGATGTTATTCATTGCACCTAAGGTATCAGAATAATATTGTATGACTGAACGGAACAATATTGAATAATTTAAATCGGCAAAAAAATCATTTATAAACAAAACTACACAACAGCAAGTGAAGGTCAATAGCTAAATAATTAATAGCCGAAATCTGTACACTAGGGACTAGATAGAGTTTGAGAATGTCAATTTCATGAAAGAATTGTAGTAAATGAAAAAAGTCGCCGCCTTAACCTATGCGAGAAAGACGCTTTCTGCGTCTGTCTGCTTAAAATTTTCCAAAACTTTATCATGCAACGGTTTTTCCACAGTCCACGCAGAAACGAAACAAGGGTCACTTGTTAAGGACGGTAGATTTAAATAGTGAAGTTGCGAAAATGTGATAAACAATTGAAACATAAATATTTATTAGTTAGTATTGCATTCGATGTCGTACGTAGGTGCCGCCGTCGAGCCGGCCGGGTGGCCGGGTGGCCGGGCGGCGTGCCAGTGACGTCACGAGGATTTATTCATGACGTCCATCCAACCATTCGGACCAATATTCATTATCGTTTACGGTACTGTACACTGATATCATATCAACATGCAAGTTGATATTAATTATTTTCAAATTAGCAAGGATTATTGAGTTTATTTGCAATCTTTATCTTTGTATTTACTAATATTTCAGTCAGTTTGGTTTGGCATATTAACAACGTACTGTCTTTTATGTATCAATTTATATTTCTTGCAGTTTTTGCTTTCGAATATAATAAACAACAACTGAATATTTATTTATAGTGATTAATTAATAATTATCAAGGGTTAGCAATAAGTTTCAAAAGGACGTAAAATTGGTCCTTCGAGCTGGATCGCGGTAATTTAGTTATAAAGGCACGAAGTCGATACTACAACCCGTTAACATCTAAAGTGTGTAATTCACTTCCTCACCCAAAAAAATAAGCAGATAACTAGTGTAACAAGTATATACATATATACGCATCATCCATGACAGACAGCTGAGTATGAGCTAATACGTGTGATAGTAGCACTAGTGGACGGTTACCGTATGCGGTTGTTGGCGCGGTGCGCGGTCTCCACGGTGACGAGGAACACGGCGTGGCTGCGGGAGGAGTGCTCGTTCATGTCGGTGCGGCCGGCAGCGCGGTTGCGGTTGCCGGCGCGCATCACGCGGACCATCTCCGCAGCGGACTTGCATACTACCGACGTCATCTCTGGGATGTAGAATCCGTTCAGCTCCTAGACCAAAGCAAAGTAATGAGCGGTAGGAAAAAGCATTTAGAGACGATTATAGAGAACTTTTGTATGGTCGGCGGAGAAGTTTATAACATTTTTTTAACAACGAACAACAATTTTCTCCCAACTTGGTAAAAAACAGAACATCGTGACAACAATTTTCATATTTAATATTCCCGCGTAAGGAACGCTGCTATACATAGAGTTCAAGGAAGATGTATTCTTCCCGATATGGAGATGAGCAGTTGTCGATGTGCTGAATTATTCCAGCGAAGGTTCAACCAACAAAGCGTTGCGCAAGCGCACGGCACGCTTAACATTGCCCATTACCTACATTAATATTTTCACAATCGCACATAACGTTCGGTACATTTGCTGGTAATTTTCGGAGGCATCAGACCACATTTATGCAAGGTTATTGCGAATTACGTATTGCTTGCGACGGTTGATGTAACATTTCAGTAAATATAACGGCGCGTGCTTATAATGTAGCCTAATGTAGATCTAGAGAGCGCTGACTAAACTTTTAAGAGGGGAGGCGGGCAATGTTTTTCGTTCTCGACCGAATCCTCCTTGATTTTTATCGCTAAAGAAAAGATGTTATATACATAAAATATAATTTTACTCATTATATGCTCCTATGTCTACCTTTTTTCGATAACTTGTGTTTCAAAGAATCTAAAACCCCTTAAAAATGACAAATAAAAAAAAATACCACTAAAGGGGTCTAATCTAGAGATTCAATAAGTACCTACCTATTTAAAAAAAATAGCAAATCATAGAGGCCTGGTATAAATTTCTATTTACTATTCTATTGGTAAAATTTCTTTTAGATATATCTAATATTCGTAGAAGAAATCGTCGAGAGTCAAACCTCGTAATTTTTATACGCAATTTTCAGTGTTAGCTACTTTTTTATCGCACCCCTTCTAACCACTGATATACCATAGAATACAGAGAGGGGTTAGAAGGGGTATACCGTTTGTACGGGAACCGATGTCGCCGGCTATATATTGATACATAATAGCCAATCAAACGACGCGACTTCAAACATTCGAACCAATCAGCGCTCACACCAGAGAGTTGCAATCAGAACCAAGTTTTGGCCAAGTTATGAGCATTTGCTCACATATGCCCATAAGACATACGCCCACAAGGCTCTTTTATCCTCTTTCTGTGGTATTTAGCAATGCGCCAAAGCAATAGTTTTTTCAAATACCTATTTCTCTAATGTCTCTCCGCTCGCGTCCGCTGTTAATGCGCTTACGTATGCGCAGCAAAAGTATTTGATTACGGACAAAAACTAAAAGCACTGACATCAAAAGACAAACGAGTAAAATTATGCATTTGCCACATGTAGAAACACTATGTCGAAAAATGAGAAGAAAATTCATTCATACAGAAATTTCTCATTCTCTTTTTGTCATTCCTTTGAGCGTAGTAAATCCTCGTGACATTTTTCGTAGGACATATTATTGGTGTCCTAAAGTCTGCGTTGGTGTAGGTACTGTAACGTCCGTTACGTTACAGCCTCCTTGTTTGAATAAACTCTTTGTTCATGCAATGCCTACGGCTGGCAGTTATATTAAAAAGTTAATATCATGATTTTAATATTTGAAATAAGGAATCGTCTGTCTTTTGATAGAAGGTTCCACATAGCAGATGGACTTCAGGCACCAAACCTCTCGTAGTTAGATTAAAAACTTGCATTTGCCTGAAATCTAATAAAACTAATATAAAATCGCAGTTGTTTCTATAAATTGCTTCGCCCCCAGGTTCTATCCACTCAGGCTAGAACTCCGCATGGTGGAGGCGCCGCGTAGATTCAAGTACCGCGAGTAAAATATTTTTAAATCAAGAAAGAAAAAGTATAATTGAAAATGGAGACCAGGACAATATTCGACGGAAAAGGTGATGTAACCGATTTCTTTCGTCAGTTTAATATAATCGCCGCGATTAATAATTATAACGACGAAACAAAAAGAATTGTGTTGTCGGCATATTTGAGTGGCCCTGCATTGTTATTTTATAAAAAAAATAATGAATCTTGCGAGAATTTTCAGATTTTAGAAAAGCAAAATACGTGAGGAATTTCCTTCATCGATAAATGCGTTGGAAAAAATTTTCTCACGAAGACAAGGCTTGTCAGAAGAGCCATTGACCTATTTTTATATATTAGACGAGCTGGCTACAAAAGCGGGAGCTGTCATCGATGACAGATGTTTTATTAGACAGTTCCTGAAAAACCGAATAAAAATACAAAAATCTTTTCGCATTTCAATTATATATTGATAAAATGCATTTAAAAGCTGTTTTACGACAAGCACAGGACATTTTCGGGGACGAAAGCGTCGAAACTAGTTGGAATCTGCCGATCCAACCATCGGTTGCTCACTTCGAAGCGTCGAAAATTTCATGCATAACCAGGAATGAAGAAGAACCGGCGAAGGAGATCAACCTCATTTCCTCTCAAAGTATCCCTTCTCATGTGATTGTCCCTCCCGAACACATGATTCCCCGCACTTTTTGTTCCAGCAACATGAACAAAAAGAAACAAAAATCAAAGAAGAAGCAAATGAAGAAAATTTTTTATGAAGAAAATTTAATGACGATGGCTGATGGAGAAGATTTTCATTCCCAACCATTAGAAAACAGCAATCAGCATACAAGTGAGTCCAAACCATTAATTAATATAACGTGTCGTGATAAGGAGTTTGTAGGGCTCATTGATAGTGGTGCTGCAGTGTCTGTGGTGTCGAAGGACATAGTAAATCGAATTCATCAACAAATTGATGAAAGCAATACGAAGTTGAAAGCCGTCGATGGTAAAGAATTGTCTGTTATAGGGAAAGTTAACCTTAATTAATTGATAGACAATGCGTTATTCATTCACGATTTTCTTGTGGTAGAAAATATTAGTCATAACCTGATCTTAGGGCAGGATTTCTTACTTCGAAATAATGCGATAATAGACTTTCATAACGAACAATATATTAATAATCAAGCATAAATTTAAGTGTAAATTTAAAAGACAATATACACAAATGAATAACGAAAGTTATAGCGATAATTCAGTTAATGATGAGTATTTATTTTATGTCGAATAGGTTGATAATTACTATAATATTAATGTGTTACTAATGAGATTTTATTTCAGTTTATTGTTTATATGATTGTTTTAAAGCAATGGTGGTATGTAAATAAGGTTCAATAGTTATTTTAGAATTTTATTTCGAAAGCATAATAAATATAACTTTTAAACATTTTAAAAGGATTTTTTTTTATTATGATAGATTAAAAGATGTAGTTTCATTAAAGTATTTTGTTTATTTGTTAACTTTAGTGTAATTCGTTGAGTAGGTGGGTTATTGATGTCGTAATAACCATTAGACTGATAGGTGACAGGTTCGATTCTCTGTTTAACTTGGAATTATTCAATTGACTTTGAATATGATCATTGATAGGATTAATTCAGCATTAGGATAGAATATAGCTAATAATGTATAATAGGATAATATAGGTCCATAAAGACAATCCCCTTATTATAAAAAAAGGAAACGGGTTCGATTCCCTGTAAGAGTGAAAAATAAATAAATGAATAATAATATAATACTTTGAAAATTTACCCAACTACGGAAAAGATGGTGTAAAGATTTATCATAAAATTTTTCTTGAATATTAACTTACCCGACTGAAGAAAAATGGTGTAAAGAATTTTACTAATATTTTATTGATTGTTCTATGTACTACTACATGATGCGGACTTCCCGAGAGAGAGGAGGCTGGCGCTCACGTAGAGTTCAGCGATACTGACGATGGTCCACCTTGTAGATGATGAAGACACCCTCTACGAATTCGCGACGTTTCAATTTGGTCGCGTCGCGTTCTTCAAAATCGTCACTTGTAGTAGAATGACTTGGGGGTAGGGAACCCTTAGTATTCCATGGGAATTGGGTTTAATCTTGTTTGATGCTAGATGTCCTTACCCAAAATTTCTATTACTTTTGCGCATCATGGGTGTCTAATAAAGTACAAGACAATAAAGTGGTGGACCACGTCTGTATCTTTATTGAAGATGTACGAAAGTAAACATTAATTATTAATTCTTTTAGTTTATCAAATCCAGTTAGTATTTACGAATCTTAGGCAATAGTTTGAATTTCGTTTCGTACATCTATTTAGTATGGGAAGTAATGAAGTTTTAAAATATAGATTTTCTTGATATTTAATGGTTTAATAAATGGGATAGGGTAAAGTTTTGCTGATAGATGGGATAAAATAAAAATAGCTTGGGTTATTTAAGGAATAGCTAGGGATAGTTTTGTTTTTTGTTTTTGCCGACTGATGTCGATGTTAAGTAAAGTTAAGGTTAGGGGGGAGATGTACGAGGGTTTTTGTTAAGGTTTTGCTCCCGTAAAGTCTTTGCAATAAAACTTTGCAAACAGTTAGGGATCTTTTCCCGTAAAGTTTTTTTTTGCAAGTTTTGCAAAGTTATTGTGAGGGCTAGTCTGTAGTAAAGGCCACCTCCCAGTTGTATTGATGTCCTTAAGCAGGTAGGGATTTTAGATAGGACTGTCGAACCCTCTCGATGTAGTAGGTAGGAAAAAAAATTTGTTAGGTCATCTAGTATGACAAAACAATTTTTTTAGCGGTGCCGGAGGGATGTAACGTCCATTGCGTTACAGCCTAATAATTGTTTATTTAATGATGTCCAGTTGGTATATGAGTCACGAGGGAGCGGAGGGCAAGGTCGTCCGAGCGGCTATCGGGCACTAATTAGCGTATTACTTTATGGCTTTTGGTGGGCATTTATGGGTTTATTTTTATTGATAATCTTATCAATAAATAAATAATCTTATCGCCAATCTTGGCGAGCCTATAAAACGACATAAAAGACAACGGACAAATACGATTAGACTTCACTAAGAAAGAAGTCTCCCGGAAGGAGAGAGTTGTGCAGACTAATCAGGCTTTCTGCGTTGCCAGTTTTTATTTTTGTCATG